GTGGGCTTCGTATACATTTAACACCACTGCAGGCCAAAAGGAACAAAGTCACAGGGTTAGAGGATAGAGTGGAGGGGAATACCCACTGAAAACACTTATTACCATCCTCACTGTGTAAAACACTCTCCAGACAAAACTTTTCTATTAAAGTGAATTGTTAAATGTTGTCATTTTTATGCTTACCATCTCTACATTGTTTCAAACTGTGTGATCAAAGACATTCCTTTGTCTCTGACCACTTCTCCAGCCAATTTGGTGCTGGGGGAGGCTGACGTGGGTTTTATTAGGCACATCTTATCTGAAAGATCTGTTTCTTGTGTTGTAAGCTTCCTTCTTTTATGATCCTTTTGGTGAGCAGGAGGACACACAAACGCACCCCATGACACACACACACACACTCACATGCGCGTGCACACACACACACACGTTCTGGCACATGCATACACATGCATACACATGCACACACATACACATAGTGCCTTGTCTTTTAGAACCATTGGGGGGTTTTACGGTGGGAGGTGCTTGTGTTGCGATGTGTATTGTAACAGTTTGTCAATAAATAGCTGTGAGGAGAGCTGCTCTTTGAAGGACTTGGTTTGGAGACAGGTGAGGAGCGTTTAGCTCCACAGCCTGGTTCTGACCAAGCCGTCCCTCGTTAGCGAGTAAAAGACCAGTTGAAGATGTTCTGTCTTGTTTTTGTTCTCCATGAGGAATAAGTCTCTAAACTAGCGGAACCTGTGGAAACACATACTCAACAGTTTCTCTTTCCTTCATGTCTGCTGCTGAAAGCTTTGCTGTTGTGCAAAACATCTGTTAGCCCATTTTTTCTTAGCAGTCATTACAACCCAACTGTTTTAAATGTGCAGCTCTGGAGGCAGGTATTCACAGGTCAGACTTACTGTAAGCGACTGTGAGGAGTGTGCTGTGAGGTGTGTACATGTCACATGCTGCCACGTTGTTCCTCTGCGCCGGCCAGTTTATAAAAGCATAGTCCTGCACGTAAAGCTCCTATAGCACAAAGAACAAGGCCCATGTTATTGATATGCATACAGACTACAGAGGAAGAGAACAATTAAAGGCAAAACACAGGCACAGGAACACACTCTATTGACATAATTCTCCTTGACTCCAACCTCAGCCTAAAAAATAAGAACAAGGAAGACACAGACAGACAGGTAGGTATATTTAATTAAAAAAAAGGAAGAAAACAAACATATAAACACACATTATGCCCCTATCGTGGACTAAACCAATCAGAGATAGTCAGGGGCGGGACCTCTCTGATTGGCCGTGGTCCAGTTGAAAGTGCAGGTGGAAGAGGGAGGTGAGTAGCTTGAATAAAGCGATATCGATTCATTAAATCCTGAATTGACTTTTAAATATAACTGTGTTTTGTCAGAAACGCCAAATTCTCAGATTAAAGCTCACAAAACCATTTCAACAACAACCAAACAGCAAATGAGAGCAGGTACACGGATTCCACACAAAGACGTAAACACAGAGTGGACCCGACGCATCAGAATCAGCTTTGTCTTTCTCGGCTTTCTCACCCGACGGCACGTAGACGGACACGCCGTCGGACACGCCGTCGGACACGCCGTCGGACACGCCGTCGGAGCTCAATGATTCTGATGCGTCGGGACCACTCTGTGTTTACGCCTTTTTGCACTGATTCTGAGCTGCTATAAACTTATGTTTACAGAGCTGTCGGCCGCTGTCTTTTTCTTTTTTTCACTTAAATGACCTCGGACAAGAAAGCCTAATTTCTGCTGTTCAATACTGAAGAAATTAAAACTTTTTAAAATTATGCAAAATT